ACCCCACCCACCCCTGGGGCGTTGCGTTACCAAACACGGTCCAGGCAACCTAGGGCCATGCTTTTTCCATTGCGGGAGATATTTTAAAGGTTAGGTTTGTGCTATAACCTTATATATAATGGAATTATAAAAATTGTTTTTCCGGTTTCCGAGAGGTTGACCATTCAAAATGTCTTGTCGGATATGCTTTTATCAAACACGGAAAGACAACATTTGCCACGTACGTTCATTCAAAACGTTCAATATTTGATTTGTTAAGTTAAGGAGATCCTATGAAAATGAAAGCATTATTTAGATGGAGGGAAAATAGCTTCGCTGACAGTCCTTATCAAGCTCTTCACGCAATCAATTACTATGTAATAATCAACATTGATAAGATCTCTTTGAGAATGCTTCGTGAAAAATGAGCAGCGCACGTCCATCAATATCGATGGCTATCATACTCCTGTTTCAATTTACTAAGGCATGTTATATAACATGAAACTATAACTAGCCTAAATAGCCCATGCAAAATGAAAGTTTATCAATAGACTTTCTTACTGATACGGTGGAATTCTATTGTTTTAAGTAAGATATTATGGGATGGCGAGGGAGCAAATATTGGAACATTTATAGACTGCACAGCTGCATCAGGGTGTCTTTTTATATATTTGCGTTATCCCGCAATGTGAAACACATTCAAAAGACAATTGAATTTGCTGGTAGTTGGAGCGATATGTAAAACACCAAAGCGTAAAATCATTTGAAAAAGTAACTTCTACGTTTGTCCCTGTCTCATAATTTAAAATGGCTGAAAAAGTTTTATTCACACCGGTTTACGGTATCGGGTGGCCAAATGTTAACTCAGATTTCCTTTTCCTTTCTTTATTTTTTTAATTTTGTGTTCGTTAATCTAGCTCAGTAGCCTATTGACATGTATTGAACTAAAGATGGAAGGTGAGGCTTCTGAGATGCTTTCATGATGAGAATGCAAACCAGAGCAAATCAGTAATATCTGTGCAGCCTTGCATTATCAATGAAGCTTCGAAAAGGTCTTAGTCTAGTATCTAGCATGCATAATCACATCTTATCCTCAGTGAAAGTAAGGACACAAGGCGCAACATTGCGCGCAATATTGCAGGCAATGTTACTGATCTCAATAGGATTACTTATACTTCAGCAATTCAACATTGCGTGCAACAAATTGCGTCGTATGACATACGTAACATGCTCCTGCAAGATTGATTGCCTGCAGCACTTCGCGCAATGTTGTGCAAGCTCCATCAAAGTCCGTAGCTTTATCACAGAATGTGAAGACATTTTAAAGCAGGCCTTCGATATACTATGATTACACGACAAAGTGAATTAGAGATTCCCGAATTTGATAGCCCCTTGTGAATATCGTGAGAGAAAGGATCAGTACTGAATGATTTAGTGACCGGAGAGGGAAATGCTATTGAGTCCATCGTCACTACTTCACTGCTGAAGTTAACAATCTCAGATCGTACTTGAAATGTTCGCCATTAAATCCTTTGCGCCAGACAACCGCTAGCAGAGCTGTTTTGTCAAGTAGGTATTTGTGCTGGGTAATCATCCTAACTATTTCCTCTTACATATTAGAGAAGGAGTCGGATTTCGGCCTCAGGAGAGAAAGATTATATTGATTCGTTTAATCCCACACTAACGTTATAGGATTTAGCTAAGGCAAGGTTCCCGGGCACGGCAAAAGAATATTCTATCAACTGGCTCAAGGATGAAGTAGCTAGTAATGAATAAGCACCAAGCAGCTTATGATTTCCGTGTTGTTTTAAAAATATTGCCCACTTTGCATTGTCTACTTAAGAAGTCCTTCCATCTGGAGTAGTGTCGTTAAGTCTCTTTCCAGGAGCGATCTGTACTCTCGCGGTGTTATCTGAGAAAACCGTAAGCCAGTTTATTTTATTCGAAAACTATACACGATTGGGTTTACTTATATAATCTACATAGTTGCCTGCCCGTATTTCAGTATGGCTTAGAGATGGCATATTTGGAGTTTAAAACGACATTTTCGTGAAATGTTTCATAATAAACTATCATAATAAACTTTATGTTACTTAAGCCGGCTTAAAATCGTTTTAAGAAGTCTTGATTGACAAAAAAGTCGGCTTGTGATTCTCGATTCATTGACAGATTAGTGTTAGTACTATAGGTCCTTCAGTCACAAACCGAGACTGTTCTGTCTTCACCGAAAACTGTCAGATCAGAAACTATTGAGTTTCAAAAGAATGACGCTCGCTCATGTCATTCCTATCGGGTAGTGTTTCCATATACACGTGGAGTAGTGCACAGGTTATCCAGATAAACTTACAAGTCGCTGCTCATCTAGTTCACTGTCAGTGTAGCTTTTGACTGCATGAAGCAACATGAAATTGGCCTCGTTCGGAAGAGCAGTCGATCTTGCCGTAATTGTTTTCGTTTCTTCTGTTATAGCTCACGTATTTAATACAATGTAAGTAATTGGTTCGTCTCAGTGACGAAACAGGTTAAGCGTGATGTAACTTGTGTAGCCATCAACGATTCTGCATCCTGTAACACTGCACCGTGGTTCTTGTTTACACCACCATGAATTAGACTATACGATTGTTTTTGTTTTTTCAGAGTCAGTTTTGGCTACTTTAAGCAAGTTCTCGGTCACTCCCCTGGGCCATGTCGGGCCATCAATGGTAAGTAAAGTCCTGCCTCGTTGTGTTTAAGAGCAAAGAGTATTTGAGTCATTTCTCTTGATGGTCATTCAATGATGCCCATCTTAAAAATGCCATTTGTCCGACCCAATCACCCTGTCTTTCAATTTAGACAGAATGGTTCGTCAAAACAAGAAGTTATTTCTCTTTCCTAGTTCACTTCAACCTTTGACAATGTTTGTTTGTAGAGCTGGTAGAACCAGACAGTAAATAATATATTCAAACACGGGTATCGCTTTCGTATATCAACCACCGTAATTTATCGGGACACATTAATTTGTTCTACAACATTAGTGACGCTCTTGTCATAAATCTGTGTGCGCTGTTGCCAAGTATTTCAGCAATGGTTGAAATTTTCCTTGCATCGAACGACCACACACACCAAACCACACAACGCATAGCACTGACTGTGGAAACAACCCTTTCATAAAGCATCCGATTCAAAGTACGCCGGTACTTCATGCGCTATATGACTTGACCAACAACTTTTAGATCTAAAAATTCGAACAATCCTAACACTTTTACTCCCTGTTTCTTAGTTGACATTATCCGGCAGTCGTACCGGCAGAATGGCAGGGTTGTCACGAATAGGGTAATGACGTCATTAATATGTCACGACTAGTTCATCATATTTGGGACTCTATCGATAGCCTGACAGTCCTAACATAAAGACTTGAGATCAGTTTTGCATGTCAATCATCTGTGCTAGTAAAACCCTAATTTCACCGAGACACGAGAAAAATCTGCTATTCTGCTGAAAATTTTTGTTTGTTTGCTTGTGTCGGGAAACTCTTTGTATGGTTTTTTTATTGTAAAATAAACTGAATCAAGCATATTAGTCAAGTGATAAAACGTTAATATATGTTGCTCTCTTGGATGAAGAGGAAACATCATTAGGCCTCGTTATATTGAGAGCGTATTAAAGTATTGAGGATAAGTCAAAACATTTAAACATCTTGTAACATAGTGCATTCCACTTAACATATGATTGAGTTATAATAACAACTAACCCCCAACGACGAAACACCTTCTTCTCGTTATACAATCAAAGATGCTTCTTTATCGCCCTTCACAACCTGCTAAAGGCCATTTGGCTTTGATATTGATGATTGTATACAAAGAGGTAATACATCAACATCAAACATCTCCCGGCCGCATATCAATTGTCCGTTCGTTTAAACAATAAAGCGATCAAAAAGATGCTCTCAACTTTAATTTTTCGAAAACTTTTTTTTCTAAAAATCAGCAACATGTGAGTTGTGTAGTGTGTAGTAAATTGAATAGTGAAAATATTGGAAGTGTGTGTGGAGAGGAACTCACGGAAGAGCCACTTATAGGGAGTGATGGTTGCAGTCAAATATATACGTACGTACCCATGTTCTACATTAAGTATAGTAAATATAATCATAATAGTTCTTGTTTTTTGTTTTTCTCTTGTAGTCAATGGTTCAGAAGATGTGGAAATACTTTCTAATGGAATGGCTTTGTTTTCATCAGTAAGTACGATACATTAAACGACATTGAAAGGTGCAAGTATTTCATGCAATTATTTTGGGTTCACGTTTCGATTTCATGCACTCCGCAACCACATGTTAATTGTGGAGCACTTTTTTTTTTCTTTTCCGTTAGGCAACGCTAGCTTGAGAATACACATTGCACGGGATGTTAGATCATAAGAATCCTTCTCGAAGAGGTTCGAAATAGGAGAAGTATTTCTAGTTTTCAGAAATGCTTATTGTTATATCCACCAACATGGCATTATGTCAGGGATTGCCACTGCCACTGCCACTGCCACTGCCACTGCCACTGCCACTGCCACTGCCACTGCCCAATATCCCATCTCAACAGGTGTAAGTCTATCAGTCCACTTGCACCTGCCAACCAAAATGTAGGGGAGGGTCGTTTTATACTGATAGAGTACTATATTCCACTTACTCTTGCAAAACCGCGTTTAAACGTTAGTATGGTTTCTTTAGAAGCCAGCTGTGGAATTATGGAAACCATAATATAATACCAAGCACAGATATGAAGTCCTTAATGTTGGGCCTACGTGCCACACAGGCATAAAGGACGATGATGAAGCACCGATACATGCTAGTTTGTAAATCGCTTTTTATCAAGTCAAAAGTCCTTGTCTTGTTATCTGAATGCTGTCTTCATTAGTCACACAATCATATGTTGTTCATCAGTTCTTTCGGCAGTTGATTAAGTCGTTCTAGTAATGCATAGCCATAATACACTGTGTAACTCGCCGTAGGCGGTTATTGTATCTAGATGTGTCACCACCTTGGTATATCTCAATTTTTACGTTAATCGTTTGCTAGACATTCTTTTCAACGACTCTAAGTATTGTCACATGCAATTCTAATCAGAGTAAACGCACTCCTGTTGTCTGTTAGTCGGTGAAATGCTATATTCAATGACATATATGATTTTCCCGTGGGAAAGAAGCCGTTACGACCAGGAGATCATGTGAAAATAACTAAGAAAGTAATAAATACGGTTTTTAGATTTAGAAAAATTAATGAGCTTGAACCCGCAGCTGGTAAAGGGTCGATGCAGGGTTAATGGCTTATGTGTGAGCTTCCAAGTCGTTATCGTTGTCGAGGTTTTTTCGTCTTCATGTAGGCAGTACGATTAATTGTTGGTGATACTTGATTATCTTTTAATACCAATTAAGATTAAGGATATGGAATTCACGAAAACCTAGGAAAGTAGTCCTACTTAAAGACAAACAATATCAAACAAATCAAGATTAAGGATATGGAATTCACGAAAACCTAGGAAATTGGTCTTTGAAGACATAGGAAAGTAAAATCAACGATATGAGAATGTATAACTAGCTAAAAACTAGTCTGAGCTGCGTCGGTGTTTCTAATGAATCAGTAATGATAAAAGGGTAAATTATACACCGTGACTGAGACGAAAAAACTTACTGACGTTTTGGACGCTAGTCCTTCGTCGGAGTAAAAGAGCAAATCCGACGAAGGACTAGCGTTCGAAATGTCAGTAAGTTTTTTCATCTTTTCACGGTGTATAATTTACCCTTTTATCATTACTGATATAAGAATGGGTCGATTGCACTTTGGCGCATGCGCATTGAAGACGTAAACTACAGCACGATTCGAGAGTATACCAAGAATAAACTGTGTAACATTGTACGCACTGTTTTTATCAAACATATAAGTGGAGACCGATAATCGATTGGTTTGTAGTACTAGATACATCGAATGTTCGCGCTAACCTTCCTATCATTTGATAACCTTTTTTATCTATAGATAAGGATTAGGTACTCAAGTTGGGCGATTAGTATCAAATCTATACTCAATCTAGATAATGACTGTGGATGACTAAGTGAGAGGCGTCAATTAAGTAAAGCACAACTGAGTAACATTACTGTTAAACAAGAATCCATCATTTGATTATTGTGTTTTTGAGCAGCAAATACGAGGTTTATATTGAATTGGCAACGAGCTAGTTGAAAAAAATAGAGAGGAAAAAATATAGTGTGTAAAAAGGAATAGTGTCCCGTATGTAGTCGCGAATCCCTAAATCATTTTACATGCAGCGAGGTCCGTACAAATGACCGAGAGCCAAATATTTTCCCGTACGGCCTGACCTAACTCAGTCAATAAGCGTTTTATCATATGACCCTAAATAAAAAAGATATTTTAAAAGTTGCAAATTATGTCAAAACGGTCGCAGGATTCGAGCAGGGCCGTACGAATCTCGAGCAGGGCCGTACGAATCCGTACGGCCCTGCACACGCCATTTTCCCGAAGGTTTTTCTAAGAGCGCGCGCCCGGGCAGATACGGGTCATATGATAATGTCCTGTATGTAGTCGCGAATCCGATCCCTAAGTCATTTTACTCGCAGGACAGGACGGTTATTTTAAAGTGTTTTACGATGTTTTCAATCAACTGTTTTAGCATTCTCAGGAAATTAACAGTTACATTCGAACTCGCATTTCGTCTTTAATGCCCTCATACTTTTCATTCACACCTAATCATTCATAACTTCTAGCTTGACATCAGTATTGCTTCTCATGTCAGTCGTTCTTCTCTAGCCCTTCGAACGGCCCATCGAACGGCTACGGAATTCTGCCTTTTGCCGCAGCACACTAACAATTTCCTCAGAGGCTAGTCAGTTTGAGTGCATACTTTCTATAATTCTTAGATCAGATATAGTACAGCTCCAAGTATTTATCAGACTTCAAATAATATCCAAATCGTTCAATCGAATGCATAGATATCAAGTTTCGCCCTGTCGAACTATGTCAAGGACGTCTTGTCCACTAACAGAATCATTGGCTGAAACCCGAGCTCCAAGGTGTGGAGTATTGAATCTGGTTCCTCTTATTTATGGCGTTAATGGGTGGAGAATCTAGTAGGGGCCTTCGTATCTTATGTTGTTCCGTAATGTATTACACATTTAGGGTCGACTAACTGTGAAATAAAGCCGTGAATAAAAACCATATTAGTGAAGTTGCGAAACAAATCCTAGAGAGGATTGAGAGACTAACACAGGTGAATCAAATAATAAAAATGCTTCGCGTAATCGCGCCTTAACTTGAAGAGAAATATATGATATATCATTGTCATGCGCTAAAAGCTCCAATAGCGGCTGATCAATCAAACCGTGCTAAACTTTTCAAATAATTTATCATTAACAAATAATAAAATTGTTGAGCCCATAATTCATAAATCTCGTGCAGATAATTACATATATTATTTTAATGACCGAATTCCACAATGGTCAAAGTTGTAACTTTGTTTCCTACAGGTATAGACCTTGAGCGTAATGTTTTCCCATTTCAGATCACGTGTCGTTCCGTAGAGTATCATTTCTTTGTTTAACAGTCGCACATGAGAAGACACATAAATGTAGATACAACTCAAACAAAGAATTTTGTTCTGAAGAGAATTGCATGTGGCCTGAAATGGGCAAACGTTATTTATATTACGCCCAATAACCCGAAAGGGTCTAATTTTGGTTTTCTGTGATGACGTACAAATAGCGCGTGTTTCTTTATCAACACCTACAGTCACACATTATGCATTTGATGATTATTCTATATACTCTTTCTTCTTGGTAAAATATACACCTAATTCAAAAGGCGTTGTCATCGCCAAAGGCGATAGGCAATAGGCGATAGACGAAAAGCGATAGTATATATCCCGGAGGGGGGGGGGGGGTACTCTTGCCCGTTTAGGATAGGGATGTGCCGCTCAGCCTTCTGAACCCTGACCCTGTTGCAGAGTAAAATCGCTGAAATTCATACCCTGTTCCAGAGCAAGATCGCTGAAAACCATACCCTTTTCCGGTAGTGCGAAAATAGATACCCTGTTTCAGAGAGGAGAGAGCGTGATTTCATATGCCCTGTCCCAGAGCGAGAGCGATTTTATATATCCTGTTCCAGAGTAAATCGCTGAAAACCGTACCCTGTTTGGCGGCACGTACCCGTGTAACGAATATAGTCGATTACTCCCCCCTCCCCCCCCCCCGGGGGGGGGGATATATGTCATTCCAAGATCCAAGAATAGCTGGAATGACTTGTGTTTCTTCTTATTCTCGTCAAGAGTATGGACCTTCGTGCTGAGACTGATTCAATGTTCTTTGTATTTAACGAAACCATTTCTATGTCGGAATGACCTATCACCTATCGCCTTTGGCGATGACAACGATTTTTGAATTAGGTGTATAATCCTAGAAATATGAAGTCCAGAACTGGACCCACTTTTCTCACTAACTGATTAAATTATATCTAGAAATACAAAGAAAACTGAAAAACAATTACAATGGTACCAGTCTATTTCCGCTACTTGGTTCCTTTCCGCCGCGCGCGCATCGATAAAATGGGTCCTGCTCTGGACTACGAAATATGTCCCCTAAAGTATCCCACAATGCACTACAACGCCAACTCGACCCAGTTTTTCCCTCAACCTCCGAATAGCTAATGAATGATCAACTTTTGATGGTTATGTTCGTAGGGTCTCCGTTACACAGTACAGTTAACAACCGATCCAATCATCAACCAAAGGACAGGAAACATATATCTCTTGGATCTCAATGAACACGAGCCAGAGCCTATGATAGTCACACTTAAATCTTTCAACCGAAGCGACTTCAACCCGCATGGAATATCCATCTATGAAGATCCAACCACAGGCCAGGTGACGTTCTTCGTTGTCAATCACAAGCACAATGATCAGGCTGTAGAAATATTTTCTTTTGACAAGAAAAAGAAATGCATGTATCACCGGAGAACCGTCGTGGATGGCAAGATGTATAGTCCAAATGATATTCTAGCTGTCGGTAAGCATTACTTTACCTTTTAATGATTTCTAATCATCTTCTAGAATAGACCTCTTGCATGTGACGTCAAAGCAGCTCAATTTGATTTGGAGGACAAAACAAAAGAAGTTCATTCTCATGAGAATTGTATGTGACGTCAAAGCAGCTCAATATGGAGGACAAAACAAAAGAAATCCATTATCATGAGAATTGGAAACCTGTTGTTATGTCCTCCAAATTTAGCGGCATTTCGACGTGTTGCAAGGAGTCTATTGTGTTGACGTGCATCTCTTCCCATGAGAATAAAAGTATAAAAGATGTGGCCGCCATGTTGGTTGACATGACGAAATACACCAAGACCAAATCTTTTGTTAAAGCCAACCAAAATGGCGGCTATGACGTCAAATGCACCCCAAGAATAGACCTTTTCCCAAATTCGCTTGAGTGACCCAAAACAATACCTCCAGGTCGAGTTTCGACTTGATGAAATACAATGAATCTATGAACACATCAAGGAAAAAGAAAATATTTTTTTGGTTTGAGTCGTATTTATATTCAAGAAATTGGTACTCCAGGGAATGACACGTGGTCTGAAATGGGAAAACATTACGCTCAAGGTAAAATCAGTAAAACTAGATAATACTCGAATCTCAAAATGGAAAAGACGGACGATCAGTAGTACATGCCATGTCATATTAGCAAACTCCCTGACGTAGCATTTCACTTTAGGTAGATGTGCTCCTTTTTTCGCAACCTTTTTTTCTCTTTTCGAATATTTATGTCATTATAAACTAAGAGCGTAAAGTTGTTGTTGTTGTTACACCGCAAAGTGGAGAAATCTTACTATACCAATGGGAATTAATGCCTTTTAAACTTTGTCTTCTTTCAAGGTCCAGAAAGCTTCTACGTAACTAATGACCATTACTTCCACTTCAGTCGCCCTTTCTTAAGGATGCTCGAGGTTGCTTTTCTCAATATATTTTTGCGCTCAAACGTGGTTTACTATGACGGCTCCAAGTCACATTTAGCAGTTACGGGACTGGTTGGACCCAATGGAATCATATTCGATCGCAGTAAAAGGTACACCTGATATACCCCTTGTACTGGAACCGAGAGGAATTGTTCTGGGGGACAAAACAATGGATTTTTTTTTCATAAGAAAAGACGGCCTATTGTTTTGTTCCCCATAACAATTCCTCTAGGAAATCAAAGCAAGGGGTCTATAGATCTCTAAGGTTCTAAGGTTATTCCTTGATGCATAAAATGTATATAAACTGACTAAAAACAGTAAAAGATAAAGCTAATATTTTACATGTATAACGCGGGGAATTGTTGCCCAATTCTCCCGAGCCAGGGGCTTATGTATAAAGTGCTCAAAGGTGCGCACTTTACCCCCTCAGACTATCAGTGCTCCTTATTACGGGTATTTAGTAAAGCTAATGCTACACAGAACAGAGGGAAGTCGAAACAGACGTGTAGACCCTGAGGATGGAGTCGTGAACCTCAAGCTTTGAAGGCAGCGCACTATAATCAACTGAGCTACGCCTGCTGCTACTGTCTGTTGAAGGGTACCTCCAAGCAGCCCCATGATGCAACGCATTCCTACGAATCCGGATGCTGTCTTTAACTTAAGGGGACCTTTTTGGGCTTGTTACGCGTGTCAGTGACGAAATATTAAACCTTTATCAAGCCATATTAGATTCTTGAGCTTTTGACCTACATATCTTTAAAACGTAACTTAACGTGCTTGAGCCCGTTGTTGAAGTAAATGATGGATAAATATTGGTTAATAATAGTATCAATTTTTGTTCCTAGGTATGTTCTAGTGTCTGCTGGGTTTTCAAATGCTATTCACGTGTACAAACGACAAAGGGACAATTCCTTACTCTTATCTCAGGTAAAACTGCATTCTGATACCCCTGGCATCACCCTATCGTCAATAGACCCCTTACATGTGACGTCAAAGCAGTTTAATTTGGAGGATAAAACAATAGAGTTTCAATCTCCTGAGAATTGGAAACCTATTCTTATGTCCTCCAAATTGAGCTGCATTCCGACGTACTGCAAGGGTTTTATTGCCCTATTTCATTATATGGACCTCGATGCTCCGCAGATCGTTTTAATTAATTTCATTCATTTAGTTTCATTTTCTTGCTTTTCCCGTATGTATTTTAAAATCTAGAAATGCTTGCGTTAATTCAGAAATAGGCTAGCAGCTTCCGTATCCTGTTGAAATCCTAAGGAGAAGAGGATGGAATGAGCAAAATATTCTTAAAATGCCAAAGTTTAATCGTATTTGTTATCAACATCTTGATTGAACAGAAAATCAACATTGGGACGCATGCAGACAACATTAATGTGGACATCGATACTGGATCCTTCTGGATCGCTGGGGTACCAAAAGGACTTGATTTCGCTGAGTACACAAGAAACCTAAAGCATCCTGCTCCTTCTCAAGTTTTGAATCTGCGATTAAACGAAGAACGATCTGGAGCCATTCCGTTTCCTGATTACGAACTTAGAGAGGTGTACCTTAACGATGGACGTGAGCATCGTGGATCGACCTCAGCTGCTCACTTTAGAGGGAAACTCCTGATAGGCGGGATATACGACAAGATGTTAATGTGTGAAGTGCGTGCCTTTTGAGAAGTGCGCTCACGGTTAGGAACAAACTAATGATGTGGGAGAACCTTGTTGACAGTGAACAAGTGAATACAGTGATCTGTACGTGGTCATCTCTAGTAATTATCCAACAAGTACTGTACTAAGTACCAGATGTCGAATTTCCACCAAGATGTGAAGAACAAACTGTACATGTTCAAGAACTGAAAAGAACTAGTCAATTTACAGTCTAAACAATTAAATTCATGAATTATCCAAGATTTGTTTTAATAACCAGATATTTTAAAGCTATTTAACATTGATATATTGAAAAATACAACAAAACACTGCAGACAACGAAGTGGTTTAGTTGCCAAAGCGCGACAATTTTGACATGAATATGTAACAGCGCGCGTGTCTATGTACTGTGATATAAACACGCTGAAAGAAGCACGAGTGAGTCGTAGAGAAACGCGAAGCGTAGCCAAGTGTTTGTGCTCTGCCGCCCGCAGAGTGTTTATATCACAGTATATAGACACGCGCGCAGATTTATATTGTTATAAAATTTAAAAGAATTAATCGGAGCGTGTTTCTGTCCTCTGATATAAACATGTTTTTTCAAGCGTTTCGACTTATCAGAGTGCGCCCAGTACATGTATATCAAATATGTTATAAATACTGATCATATACGACATGGGTAAAAGGCATGTACTATATTACAATATTTAAAGCTGGGAAGGGCTTTAATAAATGGATGATACCATACCAAGCACGCATCGCATCGTATCGCATCGCATCGCATCGCACCACACCACACTACACTACACCACACTACACCACAGCACACTACACTACACCACAGCACACTACACTACACCACACCAAAGCACACCACAGCACAGCACACTACACCACACCACACCACATCACACCACACCACACCACACCACACCACACCACCACATCGTGTATATATCGCATCAATTAG